GGGTTTTTCCATTCATTATCTTGCTTTGGATGACTGAACTTCCTTGTCTTTAGGCCATCACATTGCTTAGCTGCCTTTCATATCTGTGTTTCACCCTTAAGAGCTCTGCCCTCTATCTCAGCTCTTCAACCCACTTTTTGAGTGTGGCTCTTTATCCAGCTCATCCCATCAGCCTCTTGCTTCCATCCTATTCTGTTCAGTCCTCTAAACATGATGTGGGAGTGTGAGATCTAACTTGTATTAAATATATTCTTGTATAATTTTATATTGAGTTGTCAAGTTCTTTGTTTATTGTATTGCTGAAAATCAGTTATTAATTGTTATTTTATAATTCCATAATTTTTTAGAAACCCAAGAAGATAAAGGAAGGAGAAATGAGAATGGTCCAGAAAAAGGTAATTTCATCATCCATTACACCACATTCTAGTCTTGTCTCTCTCATATTATGAACTGTTCACTGTCCCATGCTGATCAAGGAGACCTTTCAGTGTCCCCTGTGGACAGAGGTGAAGTGGGAGGTGAGCTGGGAAATAGATGTCCTATGCCTTCCTGCTCCAACTCTTGTACATACCAAGATCCCAGTGTTTGTAAATCATGCTGGGTAAGTTGTCAACTCATAGAGTTCATTTATGAGAAGTCAAGCTGATGCAGCACTGTTAAAATTTTTGCTCTACTGATCTGGATCGGATAAATCAGCAGAAAACAACACAGCATTCCTGGTATATGCTTTCCTGGACTGTCAATAAAACCTGCTTCCAGCCTGATTTTTGCTGGCACAGCATTCACTTTTTAAGTCTGAAACCATTAACCACCTCACTAGTGGCTTGTTCTTGCCTTGCAGAGGAGAAGGGTACCAGTCCTCAGGACTATAGATACTACCTAAGAATGTGGGCCAAGGAAAAAGAGTCCAAGAAAGAAACCATTAAAGACCTTCCCAAAATGAGCCAGGTAAGAAGTGCCATGTGATGGTTTCCAGTTTAGTGGGGAATTCAGCAGGATGTGCAGCCATTGTGCCAGCATGCTCAGTCCTTGCTTGCAGCTTGTCCTGCTGTTCTGGTCTGGTGAACTTCAGAACCTCTAATTCCACACGTTTCTGTTGAATTCCACGGTGGACATGGGCAAACTGCTTTGTTTCAACCAATCAGATGTATTGGATTCCTCCCAGACCAATTTTTCCTGCCAGAACTGCAACCTGTGTTTTCCCTCCCATGCAGGGTGTCTCAAATATGCCATCAGTCACAGAAACTTGTTTGGCTTTTTTGGTTTTGCCTTGCCTCGGGTTACAGCTGCTTGGTGGAGAGTGAAGAATGTGGTTACAGAAAAGAGAGTCAGATGACTGGTGTGATCTTTTCTGCCTCTAACTTCCTTGATGGGTGCTGCATAAACCAGTTTGTAAATAAATGCTTAAGCAGCTGACCACAGAAGAGTAGCAGAATAGAAGTAAAACTTCAGGTTTTCTCAGCTGTGAATATGTGACTACTCTGTTCATTTGCCAGCAAAAAACCCACCCCTGTTAAAATGCCAGCTGTGTCTCAGTGTAGCCACTACAGCAGAGAGAGGGAGTTTGCTGTGTCCGACTGTTCTGAGTCAGTACAGTCAGTTGCCACTTACTTGGTGGGAGGCAGATAAACAGTGAGTCATTTCAGATGGTGCCTGTTGCTTCACCAGCCACTGAAAACTTTTTTCAGCCTGAAGTATGATTTTTTTGGTCTTTGTCTTTTAAAGGAACAGTTCATAGAGTTATGCAAGACCCTTTACAACATGTTCAGTGAGGACCCCGTGGAGCAGGAGCTGTACCATGCCATCGCCACTGTGGCCAGCCTCCTCCTGCGAATTGGGGAGGTTGGCAAAAAGTTCTCCAACAGGCCCACGAGGAAGTCTGAGGACTGCAAAGCAAACGATACCCAAGATCCTGTGAGTGAAGAGGAGTCGCCAACATCTGATCAGAGTCAGAATTCGGCAGTGGAGCAGCAACCCCGAGCTGACCATGAGGACAAAGCCAGTGTTGATGCTCAGCCTGAAAAAACACAGCAGGAAAACCAAACTCTAGGAGATGTGTCAGGGGAAGGACAAGGCTCTCCTTTACAGCTGCTATCAGATGATGAAACCAAAGATGATATGTCCATGTCCTCCTACTCCATGGTCAGCACAGGCTCCCTGCAGTGTGAAGACATTGCGGACGACACCGTCCTGGTGGGCTGTGAGGGCAGCGGTGCAGCTGCCAGGTATGGCAGCACCATTGACACTGACTGGTCCATCTCCTTCGAGCAGATCTTGGCCTCCATGCTGACAGAAACAGCCCTTGTAAACTACTTTGAGAAAAAGGTCAACATTCTCCAGAAGATCAAGGATCAGAAGAAGGTAGAGAGGCAGTTCAGTTCATCCAGTGACTATGAACTTTCCAACGTGTCAGGGTGAACTCAAGAAAGCAGGAGTTGTGTTTTGGAGATAAAACAGGAAGGTAATGTGGCAGATGGCAGGATGGCTTGGTATTTTCTGTTTGGGGTTTTTTTGTTTAATCAGAGACCAGTAACTACACAATTACAATAGATTCCAATTCATAAGGGGCTTCTGATAGTGACTGTTTTGTGTAGGTGCTTCTTTGGCTACTCTGGCTGACAGAATTAGATTTACATTCTCGAGAGCCATTAGAACCTAATAGCCCCTGACATATAGAATTACCACCATAAATTATGCATGTCTGCCTTTTGCTGTCTTTTATTTTAATGAAGTTTTATTTCAGACAGTAACTGCTCCTTGCCTGCCCTTGTTTGCTGTAGGTTCCTGGGTAACTTGCACAGCAGATGCAGCCTGGCTTGAAACCATGCTCACCTCTGGCTGCCAGTCCGAGAGCTAATGCAGTGTAGTCGAGTGCTGTAGGACCCTGACCTATAAATAATCTTGTAAGTCCTTCTTGTAAGCTGTTCTGTGACTCAGCAGCTATAAAGCAAATGTACCCCACTGCTCCCAGCACCCTCAGATCTAAACACAGACATTGCTCAGACCTTCAGGTTTCTTTCAGATGTGGTTTGGCATTTTCACAGTGTACGATCACTTACTTTCTCCTTCAGCATTCAGGAGTTTTCAGACAAACCTGGTTTTCTAGCATTTGTTTTTCTAATCATCTGAAAGCCATTGGGTTTAGTTTGTCTGGGAAGCCACAAGCTCCTTGGCCTCAGTGCAGAAGTAATACTGAGTCAATCAGTGGGCTCATGATGGTTATGATGAGGGAATAAGTTCCTAAATTAGAAGTCAGTGAATCAGCCTCAGTGTTCCAGGGCAGTGGCACACTGGTCTGCTGGGCTTTCCCTATCGGTGCATTCACTGTTTATTGCTGATTCTCCATTTTTACTGGCTAGTGATGAGTCCAGTTTTTAGGTGGACCCCTAAGAATCCTCTGATCAGTCAGCCCTCACAAATGCTCGGGGCAGGAAGGTGTGCAGGAGTGTTGTGCCACTCACTGCTGCTCAGTGTGTCCTTTCTGAAGTCCAGCAATGGACATGCTCTTAGAAACTCCTGCACATCCAAGGGCATTTATACCTAAAGAGAAAGAATTCAGAGCAGCATGGCCCTCTGCCATCAGCCCCCTATGGGAAGCCTCAACACTAGATCTTGTTCCAGTTGGAGTCAAAATAACTGGGAGACCGAGGGAGTGCTCTTTTAAATCAATTAAAACCAGAGGAAACGAAAAGTTGCCCTTCTGGTAGCAAAGCATGTGCTCCAAGGAAGCAGAATTAATGAATGCAGTTACTACAGATAAACTCATCTCAGCACGCAGGCAGTGACCCTGCAGGGCCAGGGGGAGAGGCACTGCTGCTCGGGCAGAGCAGACCCCGCACTGAAGGCAAGGTTTGATCCAGCTTTTGGCTGGCATTTGGAATAAAAGGGTAGGAAGGACACGTACAACATAAGGGTAGGAAGGACACATACGTGGATGTTCCCATTTAACACTACTCGGTGTGCTACTCAGTGTTAATTCATCCTCGTGACATTCTCGGTGTGTATTCACAGCTGGTACATATTTCTTATTTCTCTGCCCCCTCTGTCCTGTATCACCGGGGAGCAGCCATTAGTAAAACTGCTTTTACTAATTATTCAGTAATTTATTGTAATTTTTTTAAAGTACAAATAATACATGTGATTTTACACTGTCTGTCTTATCTGTCATGTATTCAATAAATGAACCAGAATCCTACAGGCTATTTGGCTGCCTTTTATTTCTCTCAGCTCATGGAATATTGCTGGTTCTTTATCCAGGGTGGTTATTGAAAAGAGCAGGCTTGGTGGGACTGCAGTGTGACCTACCTTCCTTTCTTTTCTTTTTCTCTTTCTTTCCTCCTTTCTTCTTTTTTCCCCTCTTTCTTTCCTTCTTTCTTTTCCTTCTTCCTTTCCTTCTTTCTTTTTTCTTTTCTTCCTTCTTTCTTTCTTTTCCTTCTTTCTTTCCTTCTTTCCTTTTTTCATATTTTATTTCTTTCTTCTTACTCATTTTTGGGTTTACATCTTTTTTTTTTCCTCTTTCCTTTTCCTTATTCTTTATTTTCTTTTTTTTTTCTTTTCTTTCCTCACTTCCCCCTTCCTTCCCTCCCTTTCTTTTACCCTCTCTTTCTTTTCTCCCTTTCTTTCCTCCCCTTTCTTTTCCCCTCCTTTTTATCATTATTCCATACACGTTTTATACAACGCAGGCTGACACAGTTTCAGGTAGGTGCAAACCTGGTGACTCTGTAGCTTCGAGCACCACGCGTTTCTCCCTCCTGGGAGAACTTTACTTGTACTAACTCACAGCCAGCCTGCCCTCAGACTTATATAAAGTCCTGTGTGGCTCTGCGGGGAGTCTTCCTGCGCGGCGGCGGCTCCGGGCGGTGAGTGGATGTGTTGATCCGGGATTGTCCCCTCCGTGTCCCCCCCGTGTCCCCTCCGTGTCCCCCCCCCGTCCCCCCCCGTGTCCCGCCGCGGTGGCGCCGCCGGGGGGCGCTGTGTGCCCGCGCGGTCACGTGCCCGCCATGGCGCGGCCGTTCCGGGTCTTGCGGTGCTGCCGCTGCCGCCGCTTCCAAGTGCACCCGGTGGGGAGGGATGGGGTGGGATGGGATGGGATGGGATGGGATGGGGGCTGCGCGCCCTGACCCCTCACTGACCCCCCTGCGCCCTCGCAGGTCAAGCGCAGCGGGCAGTGGAGCTGCAGCGTGTGCGGGCAGCGCCAGGCCCTGCAGAAGGTGAGGGCGGCCCCGGCTGGCGCCTCAGGGGTGCCCGGGGGTTCTCTCCTCTCAGCCCCGGCTGGCGCCTCAGGGGTGCCCGGGGGTTCTCCCCCCTCAGCCGCTCCCTCCTTCCCTGCAGGTTTACGGGCAGGGCTCGGGCCCGGACTGCAGGCGCCACGTCCAGAAGTTAAACTTGCTGCAGGGAGAGGCAGAGGAAGCGCTTGGCTGGACGTCTTGGTACGGTGTTTAGTCTTTATCTGTGTGTTTCTTTTAATGTGCTGCAGCTGATGCACATACACATTGGGTGCCCGTTTGTTACCCAGTCTGAGCTCACCGGAGGGTTTTCTGGCCTGTTGTGAACCCCAAGCCTAACCCAGTCTTGTCCTCACCTCAAAGGAACGAGCTCTTCGTTAGGTTAAGTGTCCCAGCATGTTTCTTTTGGCAAGAACTTTTTTTCAGGTAAGTTTGGTTGATCAATAGCGTGTGTTGGTCAGGCCTTTATCCATCAATATGTACAATAGGGTTTGGATTTGTTGTGTTGGTTTTTAGTTTGGGGTTGGTTGGTTTGTTTTGTTTGCTTTTTCTTATGATAATGACCTGACTGTGGAGATGTCCATTTTACAGATTACATTCCTCACCAGATAACATCCTCAGAGAGAAAACATCATCCACTCAACATAACTGTTGGCATTTAGGGGGTTCACTACACTGAATCTGTTGAGTAGTCACTGCTGCTATTGATACAAGACTTGTTTAGTGCAAAGATTTCTCTGTAATTACTGCTGGGCTGGAAAATCTGAGTAGCACCTTCCTGTTTATTTCATTCTCTAATCTCTTTATAAATCGTTTAATCTTGAACAGGTCCAGCTTCCTTTTTACTTGAGGTTATTTTCAGAAATCAATCAAAGGTAGTTACATAACTTACTTGTGTGTACACAGTGCTTCAGGGTTAAGCTCCGGGAAGAAAACTCATTGTTTGTCCACTTTATCAAAGAGGGTTGCTATTTTTATTCTCCAAAAATTGTGAAATTCAAAACATTGCAAAATAACTTCCCTTTTTGCTTGGTTTCTTGGGATATAATTAGTGAGTTTAAGCTGTTGTCCCAAAGAAATGCTGTTATATGCCTAGTTATGCTCAATTAGAATTTATCATTTCATGATTAGTGGCTTTAGATCAAAGTATTTGTGTAGAAAGAGTTACCTACTAACCAGATTTTTTCAAGTATTTGTCAGTATATATTGCAGATTCTTCATTTGGCATCAGCTTTTATGTAGATCCCGGTTTTTCAGACGTGCCTCCTATCTGGTGTCCCTATCCATGCTTTCTATCCAATCCCTTGTGATGTAACTGGATGATTTGAAACCTGTGAATCAACAGACAAGAGTGTGTTCTAGAAACTGTAGCTTAAACCTCTGTTTTAGGTGCGTTGAGGACTCTGTAAATGACAGCAAAAACAGAGCAGCACAACGTGAGGACAGTTTGGTCCAGCAGGTAAAACCCCTACAAAGCTGAGGTAAATACCAACCCATTCTGTCCAAGGTGAATCCAGTGAAACCAGTGATACCTCTGTATGGGAAATGGTGATGGAATCAGAGAGGCTCCTGCAGAGAGAGAATGAGATGTACATGGAAACTCTGCTCCACTGGGAACTGAACCTGGGAATACGATACAGGGACGTGTCCTGAACTGACTCACTTGAGGCACTCAGTGCATGTGTAACGATGCCAAAAATGAGAACCCCGTGTTATGCTGTTTTCAGTTACTCTCCAATGTTGTAGGAGGCAAGCCAGACGTCAGAAGGGAGCCGCTGGAGTAAATATCTGGACCAGGAGAGTGAGGATCAGGAAGACGGGGAGGAGGAGGCAGCTCTAGCAAGGCAACAGTTCTGTTCCCAGAGGAAGAACACTGTGGGAGAACAAAGGTACAGAGAGAACTTCGTTTTGCAATTTCTGCCCCCGAGTGGTGACACTTGTTTTGGAAGTGTGGGAGGCAGTTCATCTCTGAGAGCTGAACGAAATACAGGTTGCAGTGACCTGAGCTGAGCAGAGGATTGGTGTTTGGGGATAAAACTTGTCTTATTGCTAGAGCCCTGCACTTTATGAACCTCTCTGGTGATCTGTGAAAGAGGAGCTAATCTGTCCTCTTTGTGAATGGTTTTCTTGGCCAGGAAACATCGGAAGAACTTCTTCTCCGGTGATGTTCTGGAGCATGCAGAAGAAAATGGAGTTTTCCAGCCTGTCTACCAAGCCAAAAAGGTTAAAACCATGGAGGTATTTTAGCTGTAGAAGATGCTTCTGAGCAGTGTTCTCTTGACCTCTTTTGTGTCATCATAATTTTGAATTTTTGTGAGTCTTTCTCTGCTCTTCTATTTGAATGACTGGGGAGAAAAAAATTGTGTTGGGGGTTTTTCTCTGAAAGGTTTCAGTCAGGCAAAGCCAATGTCACCTTTAATGCTCCTGTGCAGCCTGGCCTTGTGATCTGGATTTATAACAAAGCCCTCTTCCTTCTTACAGCGCAAGAAATGCTTTGCAGCAGAGCCTGATGGGGCTGACAGAGATGCTGTTCCTGGAGGCAGGGTAGTGCCTGCTGTCTGTGAGGCTGCAGTGCCCGAGTTCAACACACAACCCCCAACCACCTGTGCCAAACCATCAAAGTGGGGGAAATTTCTCCCATCTTCTGACAACTCCAGTGAAAACGCTGCAGGGGCGACCTTGTCACTGTGGGAGGGCAGTGGAGGTTTGAGGCTGGACAGCACCACTGCAGCGGGTGCTGGTGGGGCCAGGAGATGCTCAGAACAGGCTGGAGAAACTCTGCCTCAAGGTACAGGTTTTGAATTTAAAAAGTGTGTTGCCGGCACTGAGAGTCTGGCTTTGAAATTGCCCAGCACCAGTTGCTCAGCTGAGGATGTGTCCAAAGAACCTCAGAGCCACTCAGAAACCACTGCAGGAAGGTGCTGTTTGGATTACACCAGGAGGGCAAATACCCTTGTCAACTCTAACCCTGGGCCAAAGCTGAGCAATGTTTCTTGTGAAAAACTCTTCTGCACAGAGGAGGAGTTTGATGATGATCTCTGAGAAGTTCAGACATCTCTGGCATTGCTTTCTTGTCTCTATAATGTATGTCAAGCATGTGGCACAATTTGTAACTGAAGGGTGCTTCACTTTAAGCCACTCTTAGAACTGCACTAATAAAGGTGTTTACTTGCTTTATGGTTGTATTTGGGGAGGAGAGACCATTCCTCTCAGGTTACAGTGTTGTCTAGCAACCTCAGCAGCTAGAAATAGGAATGGAAGTAGGTCAGTTTGTGAGGAGAAAGCTCCCAGGCTTTAAGGACTCCGTGGCAGTACAATTAAATACTGTGATTAACTCCTCCTTACAAAACCACAGCTCTTTTTCCCTGTACTACATCTTTGTTTAGATCTCCCATAGCAACCCCTTTCTTCCAGAGCTGCAGAGCCAGCAAAGCACTGGATTTCCTTTCTCAGTTTAGTCCTGAGTGTGCACCAAAGTATGTGCAAAAAGGCAGCTCTAGGCTGATTTCAGCCTAGTCCCTTCACTCTGTTAACTAAGTTGCAGTACCTGAAGTAATACAGCTGTGACACAAACTCTCAGACAGATGCATCACATGCAGCAGTATTTAATTTTTCCTTCATTCTACAAGCAGGTAAGAACATGAGACAGAAACCCTTAGCAGGAAGAAAAGATGTACCACAATGACTTTTGCTACGTCATCTGGTTTCAGTTAGAAAAGTGCTTTTTTGTTACTACTACAAGTGAGGGGGCTGCTTGGAGTACTGGATGGCATCTAGTGCTGCCCCAATGTCGCAGTTCTTTGTCTGCAGGAGTCGAGTGAGCCATCCGCCCTCATCAGAGAAGCCCATGGAGAGCATCTGGGACAGGGACTCAATGAGGCGAGGGTCTGCTTCTGTTAAGAGAAAAATGGTTTAGGGTTCAACTATCCCATGTAATTGGTAAAGCAGAGAAGGCTCCAGTGCCACACAGCAAGTAGGTGGCACAGATCCCCAGTGAAATGCTCTCCTTTGTCCCTCAGGAGCACCAACATTTGAGATAAATGATACATAACCAGGGCTAAGAAAACAACTGGACCAGGCTCAGCTGGCCTTGCTGTAGGACTCTGTGCTCTTGATCTCCATTAAGGGGCCTTGGATACTATTACTGGCTCCCACCAGAAAAATGCTGCCCTAAAGCCAGAGGGAGTACTGAGTAGTCCACATGCTGCATTAAAAGGCTCTCTTGAACAGTACATAGCAAGGACATGATTTAGGACAGCACCTTTCTCGTGTTGCTCAAATGGCACATTAGCCTAAGGTCAGAAGACTTAAGACTTAGCTGCCCACATTCAAGAGAAGAACTACCTGAACATCTCTAACAGGGTGCAAGAGCTGCCAAACCTGCCAACAGTCAGGGACAGGTTTAGCTGTAACTAACACGACCTTGGCTCCTACCACCTCTAAAACAAGTCTGCTTGTCAGGTAAGTTGGCAGTTTTCAAGTGAAAGTTACTCTCAGCTACGAAACCTGCACCTTTCTCCTACCTGGTGGGAGGTGCGGGTAGAGAGCAGCTTCTCGCAGTCCTGTAGGTCCCGGCTGGGGAGGCTCCCGGGATACATCCAGGGAGCTGGGACCATCTGTGTCTGGCATTTGCAGAGACTGCAGCTCACCCGTGGAAGGATCCACTTCTTTGGATGATAAGTGGGTCCAGTCCTCCTCACCCCCTGATGAACTGCTGGACTCACTGTGTTCCTGAAATGAAAAGAAAAGAGGTCCAGGTGCTGCAGTGCTTTCTAGGCAGGATACATGCTCCTACTATCTGCCTTTTAATATAAAGAACTACATGCACAAGATGTCCCACCACCATTGCTGTAAAATTGTAAAGGTGTTGTTATCACTTAATCTGTCATCTTAATATTCAATTCCCCAGTGCATGCCAAGTGACTGTCTTCCTTTCTAGCAAAGCCTCAGCCAGCACTATTAAATCAGTGTCATAGTTCTTGTACCTGGGAGTGGAAGGGGCCATCTTCCATTTGTGTGGGCACAGGATCTATCACCATGTCCTGTATCTGTTCTGCAACGACGTTTACTTCTGTAGCAGAGTCTGTGTTGTTCCAGTCTGGCTTGGTCTGACCGTTCTGGGCTGGAGCACTGCTGTTTGCCTCACCACCGTTCTCCTGACCGGGAGCAGTGGGAGTCACTTTGCTTCTCTGTCCTCCGTGTTCCACATCGATATCAACTTCAATACCTAGAAATGCATTTGAGAGGCAAAGCCTTAGAGATTTTTCCAAAGCACAGTCCTAAATGAGCATGGGTCAGTCCCGCTCTACTCTCTAAGGCTTCTGCAATCCTACAGTTTCCCATATAACAGGTAGTAATTAAAATGCAAAGCCTTCTTTAAATAAAGAATAGTTTTCTTTAAATAAAGAGTAGTTAAGCACCAAATAGTCACGCTGCTCTACACAGACAAGCAATACATTTAAAATGGCCAGGGCAGAATTGTATCCGGGTCCACATAAACCAGGCAAAATCCAGAATGACCACTGACTTAAATTAGTGCTCCAGTCCTCACATGTTAATAAAGTCTTTCCTCATTTTCTACAGAGGGAGGGCTCTGAAAAGGTAGTGGCTGTTCTAAGCTTAGGCATTATTAGTACCAGGTGTAAACTAAGCCCTTGAGGCTTAGTAGGCATGAGGTAGTTCTAATACTAGTCACAACAGCTGACTGCTGCTCTTGTTAGACAGACCTTTAAGCCAGTCCCAGGGATTGACCTGGTAAGAAACTGTAAGTCACTTACCCAAGGGGCTCAGAAAAGCTGCAACAGTCTCCCCAACATTCTTTAGGAAGGTGACATTGGGGTCCTGAGGCTGGTTGTTAGTAGAAGCTTCTAGAAAAACAATTTCTGTTAGCACACACAGAAGCTCAGAGGGAAAGAGCACCTACAGAGTGTGTGACCCTATGACAGCTTTGTGCTCCTTCCTGTCACTCACATACACAGTACAACAAAGGCAGCACAGAGACAACTAACTCTGAGCTACCTCTGGAACAGAAAGCCAGCATTAGCATTGTTAAGGCTCATTAGCCATGCTGGAAGGCAGTGACATGCTTGACCTAACAGCTTAGCTTGGTTTGGTTCAATTCCAGATACTCTTATCTGCATCCTCATCGATTGCATGGGCCCAAGCATGCCTTAAAGTAATCCCACTCTGTGCTGAAAGGTGCCAGTTATTTCAAGCAGATTAGGTTAGTTCCCATGTCTATTTTCCCACCCTGTTCTGCAGAACCTCAGCTAGTCTGGCTCCACCACCACCCTGCTTACCAGGACATCTCCTCTCACCTTCTGCAGCAGGTGGAGTGGGGGCTGCAGTGGTGGCTTCGGCCTGCCCGGAGTTCTGGCATGGAGGTGCAGGCCCAGGATAACCCCAGCAGTGCATCCATGGGAAGGGTGGAACACCGTGCCGCATTTTCCGGAGCCAGCGTCCCCGGGGAAGCCACTGTGAAGGGTAACATTTGTGACACACTGTCCACACAGCCAGATCCCGAGCAACTGAAACTCCTGGCCTACATTTGAGGAGTGCCCCATTCACTAGTTCCCCTCCGCAGATTTTTGCTCACCTCAAATGGATTTAGCAGGGGACTCTGGAACATCACCATGTTGTGATCCTTGTGGATGCCCTTCCCCTCACAGGTGCTGCACAGGTCGTAGTCTGGGCAGATGCTGCACTTGAACCTGGTGCCCACCACGGGTCCCTCGCAGCCGTCACAGATGACGTTGGGGTGCACCATGTTGCGGGGGGGCTCCTGGCTGCACTGCGCGCGGTGCTCCCGCTTGCACTCCTTTTTCTCTGTTAAGGAAAGGGAACTTTCCATCAGGAACAGGTTGCTATTTACAGGCTGGAAATCACGCAGAGGGGGAAGCACAAACAGCCCCTGTCAGTGCAGTATTAACTTACTAGGTCAGTTTATTTTTGCACTGGCTGCCAAACACAAGCTGAGGGCACAAGACAGACCTTAAACCAAGTGCAAAGGGGTTTCGCAAAGATACCTGGTCCTGAAACCAATCACTGCTTATCCTAAATATCTCTTGGCATGTTTATTTTAGATTAGTACTGCATAACCTTATCTGGCTTCTCATCCTACCTTCCTAAGCGCTGCAGGAACAGAATGTGTCTGGAGAGGGAGTTAGGAAGGCGTATGCCAGGAGGCACAACGTGAGAATGGGGACAACAGCCCTGGGCTGGTGTGACTCATTAGACAGGCTGCAGATAAAGCTTTGCAGGTATCCACCTGAACAAAACGGACTAGGGAGCTATTAGGGGATGAAAAAGCTGGAATTAAGGATTCCTAACACACTGTTGTGACTATTTAAGATACCAGTGCCAGCTCAGCGTGCCCAGGGAGCCAGGATGACAACAGCAGCTCGCATTGGACCGGCTGACAGGGCTGGGAGGAAACTTGTGTGATCTGCTTACTCCCACCCCCAGCAGGGAGGATTCATATTCTGTCATACTGCTCTGCCCTTTATTTACCCTCCCTCGGAAAGGCCGCAGCTTTCACCAGGCCCTTGAGGACAAGGGGAAGGGCCAGGGCCGGCTGCTCCCACTTCGGTAGCCCTGCCAGCCAAGGGCACAGCCGGAGCCCTGCGGGCCCTACCTTTGATGTACACACGGAACACGCCATCCCGCACGTAGGGCATCGCCAGCTCCAGCTCCTCGTCGGAGGAGAAAGCGATCAGGTCCCCTTCTTCATCTGGGAAGGGCGAAGCGCAGGGTGAGCTGCGGGGTCGGGGGTGACGGCGCGGGGGCAGCGGGGCACCCGCGCCCCGACACCGCCGGGATCGACTCCCGGGGCCCGTCCCGCAGCGCAGCCCCCCGGCCCCGCTCACCCTTGTAGTGCATGCGGAAGGCGGGCGGCGGCCCGGCCCGCAGCAGCCCCTGGAAGAGCTCGGCGACGCGGTCGTAGATGGCGCGGTAGCGGGCGGGCGGCGGCAGCGAGAAGCGGCGGATCTCGCGGGTCGCCTCCTCCTTGCCCAGCAGGTAGGCTTTCACCGTCAGCGCCGCCATGGCTATGGCGCAGCAGGAATTGCCGTCGGTAGCCAGCACAGACGACTCAGGGCGGAGCGGAGAAGGCGGACTGCAGGAGTGGCTCCAGGACCGGCCACTTTATAGTGCCGGGTCTGGACGGCCACGCCCCCGGAGGCCACGC